AACATCAACAAAGCCAAACTCCCCCTGAACAGCTCCTCAAAAAATCCCTCCAGCAATGGAGCACATTCCATAATACCACAGCATATTTTAATGTTTTTTTCCCCAAGAATGGTGTTTATACTTCTCTTCAAAAAGTCCAAAATTCCACGTTATGACGTATAACAATTCACATCACAGTAATGAAATTCAACAATTTTGATTCTCTCAAAATGGGTCTTGGCTGTTGGAAGTTTAGAATATACAGAATTAAGAGATTGTTTCTTTTTCACAATGATAAAATACAATTACAAGCCACTTTGTACTTTCTACCCCTCTCTGATGTTCCAAGCTGCCACCAACATGCAATGTTTGCATTTTCTTAAAACTGCATGAACTTGGCATATACTCACCTATAGAAAAATGAATCTTAAAAGCAGAGAGTGAGATGTAATAAATGTTTTACATCACTGGTGATACATCAGCTTTATGTATTATTCACTCCTGAAGATTGAAACTACTAAACCTTATCTCTCAAGCCTACAACAACATTTGCTCACACAACGTGCTCTTCCTGCAAAGACACCCTAGGCTTTAGAAAGAATTTGTCTGGGATTGCTCTAAAAGGTTTCCCCCTCTCTGCACTGCTTTTGAAGGCAGCCACAGTAAGTGAGGTCTCTCTTAATGCATCCCCTGTCAGGGCATCCTGGACAGGCACTGCAGACACGAGAGAGCAGTGAAGTTAAGTAGCAAACTGCTCAGAGATTTTGAGAACTTGCTGGCTCCCTGATTTTGGTCAGTTTTAGGGGAAGGAAAAACCCCATCACATGGCACTGGAATAAACAACATCTTTTGCACCCAGAGGCAGGTTATTCCAAGAGATGAAAGTTCAGGGCACCATGCCTCACAACCAATTTGGGTCATTTTTAACAAATGCAGTTTGATGAGATATTATAATCTTGGTGTTATGCACAAAAAATTCTAAACTATAGCAAATGTTATATAGTAGACATCCACAAATGAAGGGATGGGGCTTTTTTTCTCTTAACAGTTCACATTTTCACAGTTGTGTGGTCATTTAAAAAAGAAAAAAAAATTACCAAAACATTTGAAATCTTTAAACAACCTTTTTCATTTTATAAATGGAAAATGTCACCTGAAAATCACTGACCTTTTCTAATTTTTCAAAGTGTTCTCTGAGGAACTTCATGGGTCGGTCTGGCTTTGCTATACAGAGGTTTACAATGCATTCTTTTAGAATCTGTTGGATGTTGTGTTTCTGAACATAGAGTTCACATCCCTTCAGGCTCTCATCTTCTTCCACATTGCAGGAAGCAGCAGCAGCCATCTTCAGGCTTGTAAACAGAAAACACAACCTAGGTAAGAAAATGGTGCAAGAAAGAGATGAGACACAGATCCCAAGTCCTTTGTCAGAGAGATCTGAAGAGCAAAGACATTTCAATATTGCCTGTTGCCTATTGAGGACCTATTCAATTTGAACGTTTTAATGTTCTGGGGTTGTACGTGGAAATGCTGAACTGTGTCATCTTTGTATCATCAACATCCCACCAAGTACACAAAGAGGATTTAAACTCCTAGATTGTGATCAATCTTTGAAAAAAAAAAAACCAACAAGCTGGTGAAATTAACGAGGCAAGGAGTTTCAAAAGCGCTATTAAATGACGGTGTAAAGCCTTTGCTCTCCCCGTGGGGACTGCTCCTGTCACTGGAAGCCCAGCTTCTTGCTACACAGATTTTTGGGCAATTTTAGCATCTCTTCCCTTTCCCAGCCAGCGACCCTGGCGACCCTGGGGAGGAGCGGGCAGAGCCCCCCGAAGGGAAGCGAGTTCCCGAAGGGAAGTTCGATGACTTGGGGGGAGAGCAGCCCCAAACCCTCTTTATCTCCCCCAGCGGGGTTATGACCGCTCCGTGACGAGCCGAGAACGCCGGGGCAGCTTTACCGGGGCAGTGCGGGGCAGTGCGGGGGGCAGTGCGGGGCAGTGCGGGGCAGTGCGGGGCTGTGCGGGGCAGGCTCCGGGAGGCTCCGAGCGCCGGGGAAGTGCCCCGGGCCCGGCCGGGCGGATCTGCCGCCGCTGTCCCTGTCCCTGCCCCTGGCCCCTCTCCCCGGTCCCTGTCCCCTGTCCCCGGTCCCTGTCCCTGTCGCTGCCCCGCCGGGCCAGGCTCCGGCAGGCTCCGAGCGCCGGGGAAGTGCCCCGGGCCCGGCCGGGCGGATCTGCCGCCGCTGTCCCTGTCCCTGTCCCTGCCCCTGTCCCCTGCCCTGGCCCCTGTCCCCTGCCCCTGTCCCCTGTCCCCTGTCCCCGGTCCCTGTCCCTGTCGCTGCCCCGCCGGGCCCGGCGAACGGCGGGGCCGGTAAATACCTGGTGGCCGGAGCGGCGGCGCCTCCTCTGCGCTGGCCGGCGGTGCAGGCGGGGGAAGCGGCTCCCCTGCCGGTATCCGCACTGCAGCCGCCGCCGCCGCCTCCGCTCCTGCCCGCCCGCCCGGGGCCGCGGGGCGCCGCGGGGACCCTCCTCCCGCTCCCGCACAAAGGCTCCGGCTCCGCCGCCGCTCGCCCGCAGGAAGTGCCGCCGCCGTCACTCCCCGGCGGGCGCGGCCTCCACCACCGCCTCCGCCGAGAGGCGGCACGGAGCCCTCAGCTCCGAACGGGGCTGCGCGGAGCCCTCAGCTCCGAACCGGGCTGCACGGAGCCCGCCGCTGCGAACGGGGCTGCGCGGAGCCCTCAGCTCCGAACGGGGCGGCACGGAGCCCTCAGCTCCGAACGGGGCGGCACGGAGCCCGCCGCTGCGAACCGGGCTGCGCGGAGCCCTCAGCTCCGAGCGGGGCTGCGCGGAGCCCGCCGCTCTGCTCCGGGCGGCTCCGACCTCTCCGCTTCGAACCGCACCGCATGAACCCGCTCTGCCCCTCACGGACCAGCTCTGCACCGCACGGACCTGCACGGACCCATTCTGCCCCGCTCTGTCCCGCTCTGCCCCGCACGGACCCGCTCTGTCCTGTTCTGCCCCGTTCTACCCCGTTCTGCCCCTCTCTGTCCCGCACGGCCCCGCAGGGCACGGCAGGAGCTGGCCTGGCTGCCCCGCACCGCCAGCCCGAGGACAGGCCCGCGAGGGAGCAGAGCCGGGCCACGACGGGCGATGGTGTGGCCGTGCGGAGCAGGCCTGGCCACGAGCGACACTCGGGGTGCGTGAGGCGGCCACACCATGGAGGATGGCCTGGCCACGAGGGACACCAGCCTGGCTGTGACACATGGGCACACAGGACGAGCTGGCCCGGGAATGTGTCCTGGCCATCGCGGACGATGAGCTGGCCGTGCAGGACACACTGCTGGGCCAAGGCAGGTGCACGGCACTGTCTGTGGCACCAGCCTGTGCCTGCCAGGCCTGCTGAGCACACACAGCTCGGGAAGGGTTGGGAAAAGCAGGGAAGAGCAGCTCACCAGCTCTGCCCATGGGTTTTTAGAGCAGAGCCATCCCAGCCAGCAGCACCTCTGTGCAAGGCCGCGAGGAGTGTGGGCACAGCTGGCATTCAGCCATGGGCTGTCAGCAATACTCCAATATTGTTTTCCTTCTGCTGCCAGGAAATTCACATTCATGGCTCCCATAGAATAAAGGGTGAAACAGGACTCCAGAAGTTCACAGTCAGGCTAGGAGAAGCGCAACAAGAGAATAAACTCTGCTGGTAAACACAGGGCTATTTTAAAATAATTTGAATTAGTTCTGTGGTTTATTGCACTTGAGATTCTGTGTGATCACTCAAGAAAAGGACCCTGAGAACCTTTTTGGTTTGAGGTCTGTTCCTTGCAGTCACCAGAGGAGAACACAAAACACGAGGTTGTGTAAAGTACAACACAAACACAATGTACATACACATTAGCTAATACAAATAAACACTAAAAAGCTACAGCGCTGTTAGAGAAACTGACACCTTCCTGCCCGTGCTGTGTGATCCCTGCACAGAAGGAGCAGCGGGGGAAGTGGCACATGTGAAAGTGGCGGGGCACGGAGCCCTCAGCCCTGGCACTGCCAGGCTGGCACGGCTCGCTCCCCGCCTAAGGAGGGGCTGTCACCCTGCCCAGCCCCTGTCACCCTGTCCCTGTCACCCTGCCCTGTCCCTGTCACCCTGTCCCTGTCCCCCTGTCCCTGCCCCTCTCACCCTGCCCTGTCCCCGTCCCCTCACTCTGTTCCTGTCCCCTGTTCTGTCTGTTTTCCCCCGGCTCTATCCCTGATCCCCTCTCTGTCCTCGTCCCTGTCCCTAACCCTGTCCCACTCTCTATCCCTGTCCCTGTCCTGCTCCCTATCCCTGTCCTTGTCCCACTCTCTGTCCCTCTCCCTGTCGCTGTCCCTATCCCTGTTCTCTCCTTCTCTCTGTCCCTATCCTTGTCCCTGTCCCTATCTCTGACCCTGTCCTTATCCCTGTCCCTGTCCCCGTGTCTCTGTCCCTGTCCCTATCCTTGTCTCTGTCTCTATCCCTGTCCCTCTCTTTATCCCTGTCTCTGTCTCTCTCTCTGTACCTGTCCCCATGTCCCTCTCCCTGTCCTGTCCCTCTCCCTATCCCTGTCCCTCTCTCTGACCCAGTCCCTCTCCCTTGTCCCTGTTCCTGTCCCTGTCCCCGTGTCCCTGTCCCTCTCTCTCCCTGTCCCCGTATCCCTGTCCCTGTTCCTGCCCCTCTCCCTCTCTCTATTCTTCCCCTTGTTCCTGTCCCTGTCTCTCCCTGTCCCTGTGTCCCTCTCCCTGTGTCCCTGTCCCTCTCTCTATCCCTCTCCCTCTCTCTCTCTCTGTCCCCGTATTCCTGCCCCGTGTCCCTGTCCCGCTCTCTGTCCCTGTCCCTGTCCCTGTCTCTGTCCCTGTCCCCGTGTCCCTGTCCCTGTGTCCCTGTCCCCGTGTCCCTGTCCCTGTGTCCCTGTCCCCCTCTCCCTCTCCCTCTCCCTCTCCCTCTCCCGCTCCCTGCGCTGTCCCCGCGCGCTGCCGGGCGCGGCCGTAAAGCGCGCTCCCGCCGTCGCAAACGCCCCGCGCGTCCCTGGCGACGCGGCCGCCCCGGTGCCGGATCATGGCGGCGCCCGCGGCGGCGGCCGAGCTGTCGCAGGCGCTGTCCCGGCCCCTCGGCGTCCTCCAGCAGCCCGAAGGGCCGGCCGCTGCCGGGCGCGGTGCTGCAGGAGGTGTTCGCGGCGCGGCTGCTGCGGCCGCTGTCGCGCTGCCTGGCGGGGGACGCGGCGGAGCGGTGCCGGGAGCTCGCCCTGCAGCTGCTCCGCCACGGGCTCAGCCACGGCGAGCGGCCCTGCGAGGCGCTGCCCGTGCTGCTGCCGGCCCTGGCGCAGCGGCTGTGCCCGCCGCAGGGCGCGGAGCCCAGCGAGGAGCTGCGGCTCGGCCTGGTGCAGCTGCTGGGCCTCCTGCTGCAGCGCTGCGGCGCCGCCACGGCCCCCTACCTCGGCGACATCGCCCGCGTCCTCCAGGCCACCCTCCTCGACCACTATGCCGAGGTCAGGCGGGAGAGCTGCGGCTGTGCCGTGGCCTGCGCCAGGGCCATGCCAGGTGGGGCTGAGCGGTGGGGCTGAGGAGGGAGCGGGGATGCAGGCAGGGGAGAGATGAGGGGTCGCACACGCCCTCCCAGGGCTGCTCTGCGGGGTTTGGAGGGTCTGCTGGAGAGGAGCCAGGCCAGGAGTGTAGCTGAGCTGTTGGGTGTGGGTAGTAGCAGCAGGAGGGGCTAGGAGAGGGTTTGTGGGCAGCGTTCAGCTCTGATACTGTATAAAGTTAAAGCTGCCTGCTACATGAACACAGCGGCACTAGTCAGGCTGCTCTTCGTAGTGGTGCAGAAATTGTGTTGCTCCAGATCTGTCACCCACGCAGAGAAAGAAATAGAATTACTGAGCAGCATTAAGGCCCCCACCAAATGCATTAGTCCATCCAAAATCATCTTGTACTGCTGGCCCCAGCAACTGTTGGGTGTCATGGGTATATCCATGCTACACAGAATCAGAGAGTGGTTTGGGTTTGAAGGGACTTTAAAGAAGATCATCTAGTTCCAACCCTCTACCATGGACAGGGATCTTGCCCACAATGGGAGCTCACATGGTTTATGTTTCTGTCTTTCTGCCCTAACAGAGCACTTCCATATGCAATCAGAGTCGCTGATAAAACCCCTAATGCAGACAATTTCCCACCAACACTACAGAGTTCGTGTTGATGTGATCCAGGCTACTGGAGCAGTGATACAGTTTGGGAATGGAAAGTCTGTGGATGATGTCCTGTCTCATCTGGCCCAGAGGTTATTTGATGAGATTCCCAAGGTGTGCTTTTCTTCCTTCTTTTCTTAGCATTTATTTTAAATCTGTTTAAAACCCATCCCCGTGGCGTGGGTTTCTTGGTGTTTCTCTCCCTGCTTTTCCCATTTTCACTGTCTTGCATTCAGCTGAGATCTGTAAATACATCTATCATGGTTTAATCCCAGATGGGATTAAGCACCACGCAGCCCCCTGCTCACTCCCAGCTCGTGTCACCTGTCCTGGCATTGCTCCCTCAGCTCTTTGTGCAGCTCCTCACTAGCACAGCTTGGGACACCCAAAAGTCCTTGACTTGGGCAAACTCTGCTTAGCAACAAGCAAACATCAGTGTGTTATCAGCATTGTTCTCACACTAAATCCAAAAAATATCACCATAGCAGCTGCTGAGATGAACTGTCCCAGCTGAAGCAATGACAATGTCCCACCCAGCCTGAATCAGTTGCAATCTGTCCCAGACCAATGCTGGTGACTGCTGTCCAGTTCAGCAGGGTGGTGAGGGTTTTGTTCTAACGGGTGCCTTCAATTCTGTCTTAAATTCTCTGCCTCATCTCCCTGGCCCTTCATTCTCTGGCCTTTTCAGATGTTTAACAAACATGGTATGGGCCCCTTTATAAGGTGCAACTGAAGCAGTAAGTTTAAAATTAATCTTTCCTTTGTAGTGAACAGAGAAAATTTTCTTCTGGAATGTGCTTGGAAAGCTACAAATTCTAGAGAAATGTACATTTCCTAAATTCTCAGGAAGGAATTAGCCACAAGAATTTAGTTTTCTGAGTTAGGTCTGTGTCTTGTCTTCCTCTCAAAGCTGTGCTTTTGTGCAGCAAAAAGTCTAAGACTCACTAAGCCAGAGTGCAAAATGAGAGTGTGATTCCTTGTGTGTTCCTTAACATGCTTCCTGCAAGTGAGGAAATGCTGAGTTCTTGTCATTTCTTCTGAGAATATTGATGTGCTTCACCATGTCCTTCATACAGAGAGCAAATATTGATTTTATTATCTTTCTGTTATTTTCCTGACACCTTTAAAATAGTTTTTTTGTCTCCCTGTAGGTACGGCACGCTGTAACAACTGTCATTGGAGAATGGTTGTTGCACCTACGAGACAGATACTCATATTTTCACAAGCTGATCCCTCTGTTACTTGGCAGCTTTACTGATGAAATTCCTGAAAATGCGTATGTGGAACCTTTAGTCTTTTTTTACCCCTCTTGAATAGATGCCAAAGAAGTGTTCCTAAGTTCAGAAATGTCTTGCTTGGAGGACAAAACCCCCACTTCTGTTAGTTAGGTAGTTATTTTGTTCTTAGACTGAAAATGTTAGCATTATCTTCAGTAACTTTTGTTATACTGTCCTTTCATGCTACATTCAATTAAATGTGAGAGAGACAAAGACAGGGGTGGACAGAGACAGAATCATCTCTTGGGAGAAGAGACCTCTGTCTACGAGTACAAAAGAAATATAAACTCTTAACTTAATGTGCCTAGGTTAAGTGGCTGGAATGCTTCCCATCCTTCCAGCTGAATTCAAGTAGTCAGCTTTTCCAGAAGTCTCATTTTAAAGTGTTTTTCTTTGGGAGCATGGTGGTATAAAACTCTTATTTTATATCTAGGAAACTGGCTTGGACCTACTGGGAAAAGATAGGCTTGCAATGGGAGAAAGAGAATGAAGAAGATTTGAAGGATAAGATGGATTTTAGTGTTTCACCATCTCATTATCCCAAAGGAGGTAAATGTTGTGCTGAAAGTGGTTTTTGCTTTGTGAATAATCTCCAAGAGCTGCTGTGCAGTACTGACAGCAGAGCAGGATGTGTAATATTCATTACAATATGTAATATTAATGTAGAGAGGTATAAAATATATATAAAATTATTTAAATTATTAAATTTAAATTTTAAAAAGTGAATGTTCAGTAACCTCTTTTTTTTTTTTTTTTTGGTTAATCCAAAAATTCATTTTGGAGAAACATTATTTAAATTATTTAATTTAAATTTTAAGAAGTGATTGTTCAGTAACCTCTCTTTTTTTTTTTTTTTTTTTTTTGGTTAATCCAAAAATTCATTTTGGAGAAAGTAAATGAGGCTGCCTATGCTGAAAAAAGGTAAAGCAGTGGTGCAGAAACAGCAGTAAGTTCTACATCAGCCAGCAGCCAGGTGCACAGTGGGCACAGAAAAGACTGGAAAGAAAGGCAGGAGAAAAGAAGCCATGAGCTAAGTCCTTGAGTAATGAGTGCAGGTCACAGCATTAGTGATCCACATAATTGGTGCTGAAGAAAAATTTGCAATGAAATTATTTCAGACTTCTCTGTGAGACACTGGGATGCTACCTGAAATCTGGCAGTGCACATGAAGAATGTGGGAACAGAGTAATTTCCTTTATTATACACAAAAGCCCCAAGATATGCAGAATGGGTAGTTTACTTTTTAGTACCATATGATTTATAGGTGGCTTTCAAACATTGTGTTTGCAGTAACTTGAAGCTTGTTTCCTGTCTTGGGTTCACAAAGTTAATGTTTAAAAATATACATATGGGAGTTGGGGGAAGAGAGAGTTTAACTGGCTCATTTATTGATTTCTATACTCATATTTAACTGAACAAAAACTCTTTTGGTGTGAAGGAACAGGTTCATGCTTGACTTGTGCCTACATGACAATCACATCACAGAATACCCAGCAGCAAAATCCTTTCCATGACAGTGGGTTCCGGAGCTCTTTCTTCTTTGAATTACACTTCTTTTTTTTCTTTAAAGTTGTTTTACTCAGTAATGCTTGAATGAAAGGGGAAGCACTTCATAATGGTGACTGGTTTGACAGAACTGTTTAGCTTTGAAGGCAGGCAAGTTGATCTGTCATCCTTCCCAATCTTTTTTCTTTCCTCCTTATTTTCTGTATAATCTTACCTCAGGGGTTTGGAAATGCTAAAGAAGGTTTTTACTTCCACTAGTCATGGCAGAAACATATTTCTTCTCCTGGCAGTCAGAGAATCTTTTAACAGACACAAACTGATGAAGTTGAGTGTCTAAGCTCCAGTCACTAATTTTGCAATGACCATGATATAGTGAAGGTCATAAAAGGTTTAATTTCATTGTCTTGGAACAGTGATTACCATTTGTACAGCTGATGGGGTTACCTGGGTTAGTTTTGTCTAGGTGTGTGTTGGGGTTTGTGTGTGTAAGCTGTTGTGGTGGGGCTTTTTAGAAAGTGACATCTACCAATTACTTCATGATTGAATGATATGTGAACTCCTAAATAATCTCCTTAGCACAATAAATATGCTTCATGAATTTGGGCAACATTCCAGCCCCACATTAAATTGAATTTTCTTGCATTTTTCTTGGTAGAATGATGCAGTTAAGGCTTCAATGTAACATATATGTGTGTATTTATATATATGTGCACATACTAAAGAATATTTCAAAGAAATGGCCTGATAATTTTGGACTTAAGTCCCAAGTTAATGGTGACTTTTAGTCATCATTTGTTGCTGTTTATCTTTACTTCCAAGTTGTATGTTTTATTAATAGTCAGGCCTGATGTGACAAATAGAAGAAAAGTCAGAGGAAAGGATGACTTGCTGCTTAATCCTACAGACACAGAACTTTATCAGAGACACTAATATAGCTTATGTGGTGTCCCACCACAGCCTGTGTATGGTGATTGTTACTATCTGTGTCCTTTCTGTTTGCTCTCCATGAACATTTGGTTGGTTTGTTTTATTGGGAGGGGGTTTGTGTTGGGGTATTTTAGTATTTTGTTGCCATTTCTTGTGACTTTAGTAGAATATTTTTTCTCCAACTGTGAGTCTGCAGTACATTTTACTTAAGTAGCTTTGTCCAGCTGTCAGACTAATGGACCTGCCACAGGAGCCCTCCTTTGATCTCCCAGTGACAGATTCTGCAGGTCAGAGGGGACCAGAGGGAGGCCTGGTGTCATCCAGGCACTGCACAGCTTGCACTGAGCCCCAGCACCCATTGCCTCAGGATACAGGTGCAGACAGTTTATAGCAGGGAAGTCTTTGACAGGAGTAGCTACAGGGATAAATGCCTGCATTTGAACATCTGAAATGAAGGAATTGCTGATAAAGAATGGTCCAAATTCTTCAAACAAAATTCTGCCTCGGGTTCAATAGGATGCCAGTCTGTATTTGCTGTCTCAAGTTGATTTCTTTATTTGACCTTTTGCTACTCATTGTCAGCTTTCATAATCCAGAATGTTTCCTCCATTGACAAAAGAAGCAGCAATTCATGTCCTGATGCTTGAATTTTATTTTTTCCCTAGTTAGGTATTTCATAGGTATTTCTAAGCCTTTTGTATCCTCAGACCATTTTCTTTAGTCAGTTTTCCTTTTAACTACTTTCCTGTAGTTACACAGGCCAGTGCAGGAAAATATCTTGAGACAGCTCAGTCATTTTCTTCCTGAGCATTTACAGAACTCTGTATCAGAAATAAAAAAGGCACTCACACATTCAGTGTATTTTGACACCTCATAATGAATGATGTCTCTTTCTTAAAACAGCATGTGAACATTGTGATTGGCAATTATGAAATCGTGCTTCTCAAAGAACAGCTTTTCAGATTTTCTTTGTATAAACGTACACAGTGTTAAGAAAAGAAAATAGACTGCAGGAAAAAATCTCTAAAAAAGTTTATTGCTGTTTTTTGGAAAGGCTGTCACAGCTTTATCTGTAAAGTACAGAACAGGACATTTGTTAGATGTTTGTGATATTGGTCAAGATGCTCTTCTGAATCTCAGTAATTTATAAATTAACTAATAAGTAAATTTGATGAAACAGTAGAGTAGGCATTTGTTGGGAAAGGTGAGTTTGTTGGTTATCCAGAAATGTGCATCCTTTGTTAAGGCAGGGAATATATATTTGCAAAACTTTTGGGGTCTTTTTGAAATCAAAAGACAAATCAAACCACAAAAACTCACTTTCCACAAAGTCAATAAAAATTAAATTCAGTCTTAAGAAAAAAAATACATCCCCCCAACTTGTGTATTATAATTTTAAATGTAGTATTCCATTTCTGAAGTGCTGAAGAGGCACTTCAGTGAGCTGCTTCTCCTGGAAAGGCCTTAGAAAGGAGATGATATAATAGCTATGATTTTTAAAACACTATCAATTTGTTGCCCTGATCTATTACACAGCATCTGTACAAGCCATAGTTTGTGCCCTTTCTGCCTTCAATTTGCCAGACACACTTTTAACCTTTTCCTTTAGAGGGCACAATTGACATTGTCTGTTTTACTGCAGCTCATGTCTTCTGTAACATTGTTTGTACCTTCTACCTTCTTTCCTCCTCCAAATTATACTGAGCTCAGCATTTGCATGCACAAGTCTTTCTTCTCTTTATCTGTGTGTGTTTCAGTTTATTTTTCTTGGGATTTGTGTTGCTATCAAAATTAAAAGGAATTATTAAGCTATGTTTTCCAAAGTGGGTAAAGACATGCGTTCATTTCAATTCTCTTTCTCTTCTGCTTCCATAAACATTTTAGAACATGAAATCCAAATCACTGTCGAATAATAAATACATAAATATTCAAAGAGCTGTGTGGAGTTTTAATTCTGCAATATTCAATTTTGCAATTTTAATTCTGCAGTATATATTGCAAGGAAATGCAACTTGCCCAGGTAAATTCCTCAGCAGCATTTGGAGTGTTTTGTTCTATGCTGAAGCAAAAGCTCTTACCTTGCAGCTTTTAAACTTTTCTGAGATTGTTATGCATTGGCTTTTCCTTTTATATTTCTGTTTGGGTTGTTTTTGTTTTTTCTAGAGACTCGACCAGGACTGGGTTGTCGGGAACTTGTGTCGAGAAACCTCTCCAAAATTCTCCCAGGTCTCTGTCATGATATCACAGACTGGCTTGGAAGCACAAGAATCAAAGCATCCCAGCTCCTGTACACATTATTGCTGCATGCAGAGGATCACATCACCCAACACATGGAGCTACTGCTGAGAACTTTGTACCAGGCATGCTCAGATGAAGAAAGTGAAGTGGTTAAAAATGTAAGTTTGATCTGTTAAAGTAGCTGTTGTACATTGAATAAAGACTTTATAGTCTTCAGTCTGTCTTCTGAAGGTCGACTTTGCCTTAGGTCACTGGGAATTGCCCATGATTGAAGGATCAGGCTCGGGTTTATATGGATGTTAAGAACATGTGCACATTATACTTCTCTAATCTGTTAAAATAAATGTATTCCTCTATTACTGGTATGAAGACCAATACTAAAGTTATTTAAATACTGTTTAGTTTGTATGCCAACCCCATGAAGCATTGATAATAATCTCTCCAAAAATTATAAGCAGTGGATTAAAGTGTAAAAGCCTTGGGGCAACAAATTCAATGTAAAAAAATGTGCAGGTCATGCCCTTTCAAGTTAATTTCACTTACCTCCCCCTGCTCCATAATCCAACCATATATTGAGGTATGTTTATTCCATGTGATACCCATATTCAGTGTTTGAATCTTTGACTTAATGCTTGGAAAATGTGGGGTTGGGGAGGGGGGTTGTGAGGAATAATTAGTTTGATTTTTAGTAACAGTTGATTCTTTCAACACTTTGATCAACAAACCAGTAAAACAGATGCAGTTGAACACATGAGATAAATTTAGCAAAAGAAAGACAGGTGGTACAAATGCTTTCACAATTTTAAGATAAAATCTTCTGTTCCTGTTTCTACTCAAGGAAGAGAACATATGTATAACAAAAATATATCTACGTAACTTACTCTAAAGTTACAAATTTTATTGCTTTGGGAAATTGGAAGAATGTGTTCTGCTTACTGGATGCAGATAGTCCAACCCTAAATCAGGCTCTTGTTTGGGTTCCTGCTCCCAGCTGGGCTGAAAGAAAACATAAATAATTAGGACAATAAGGCCATATAGCCCTGCTGTTCTGTCAAATTTCCTATCAAGTGCTTATTGCTATAAATCTAAATTCAAAATGTGTGTTTAGCACACAGCTGTCCCTTATCTTTTATTGGCCATACTCGTCTCTTTCTTAGAATTCCATCACTAATCTTCTCACAGGTGCTTTCAAGAGATTTATTCCTGGTTAAGAGATGATTCCAGTATTTAATTGTACTTTTCCTTGTGCCAAACACAAGAGTCAGCAACTTCAGGTTTGGGATGCCTTTTATCTATGCCTATTTATCCCAGGGTATTGTGATAACCTCCTCTAGTTTGTCACTGCAGGAGCCCATTGCAGAGCAGCCACCAGCTTGGAGAATGTCCATGTCTTTCTCCACTCTAGTAATACCAAATGAGACCCTTTCAATTTTTTCCCCTATTAAAGTGAGTAAATTGATCAGAACAAATGTATGAAATCATATTTTTGAACTCTTTAGTTGTATTGTCCAGTTTTCAGAGCATTAAGAGTCTTTTTCCTTCTCTGTGGCAAATATAGAGGAGAATGGAGTTCATATCTACACAGAGGATGTTACAACTCCTTTGAGTCCTATCTTTGTGAAAAGAAACAGTTCTATATAGTGCAGATATGAACTGTAGAACTCATTACTATGTGCTTCTATTAAGACTAAAAAAAACTAGCATGATTCAAGTATTAATTAGGTTAAAAAAAAAAGAAGTCATGGCTAAATCACTAACTGTAAATGATAGAGAAAGCTTTCATCTTTGGGGAAATGACCCAACCATTAAATCTGTGCGGCTGGAAGAAGTGTTTCTGTTGCACAGGTAGTGCTGCAGTAGTTGATTGGTTCTTTATTCATGCACATGATTGTAAACATTGGGCATCAGTCAGGCAGTAAGCCCTGGTGTGGTGGTATTTCGTGTGGATTACAACATCCTGATACATCTGCAAGGCAGGAATGGGATCAAAGGGTGTCACTGTCATGGGGAATACCCAGTAATTTAAGCCTTTCAGTTAAAGAAGTAAGAAGGAAAGCAGTGGGCAGTTCCCCCATGGCATTGCTTCCACACTTAACCTGATCTGTAATGTCAGCTTCAAGGTATAGTACAATAACAAAAGATTCCTCCTTCCTTTTTTTATGGTTACAGCTTTTAATAAACATTAAGGGCAAGCCTCAGGACAGCATTTGAGGGACAAAGTGCTAAACCACTAAATGTGCAACATCTGGTTGCTCTAAATTGGAAACTTTATTACACTGAAGTTGTACACTTTGTTTCTGTGCATTGCTTTCTCAGGGAAGTTTGTCTGATGTGGGGAAGGCTGCTTGCAATGCCTTATTATGTGCTTGCTGAACATGTCAAGAAAATTTCTTCATGCATATAATCATTACTGAGCGAGTGGAAAAGGCCTACAAGGCAACTGCTGAAGCATTTAAAATAACAGCTGGAATCATAAAAAGATAAAGGTCTTTGTGTTTTCAGGAAAATCGTCAAGTTATTCCTGTTCTTTTTTTCAGAGTGTGAAAGCAGCAGAACTGATTGGAACGTTTGTCAGCCCTAAGGTATCTTTGAAATTAATCACCCCAGCCTTTGAGCAGACACCCAAAGCCTCCTGTGTGATGGTTCTGGCTGCAGTGATTCGAGGTAGCCCAAAAGAAATTTTACAGCCTCATGTGGCCCAGCTTGGCAACACACTGTCACAGGCTGGAGTCTGTCAGAGATCTGAAGAGGTAAGGAAGGCTGCAAAACACACAGGCTTTGACCAAACTACCTTTACACTTATTTTCCCTAAATACTCCCATTCCTATCCCTCCCTTGCACACCTGTCTCAGGAAATAGTTGTGGACAGTGTCTGAGACAAAGCAGGAGCTTCCCCATCCTTCCTGGGCTATGTCATGGTCTCCTGGGCAATCTTCTGCTTTCAAAGGCTTACCAACAGTCCATCCTCTCAGCAGATGTAGGTTCAGGTAAAGAACTGCTGTAAAGGACTTCATATAATGGCAAGAAAGTGAAGAGGCAAGGCAGGGAGACAAGCAGCTGTTTAGTAAATACTGTACTCACAAAGGACTACCGTGGCTGGTCCTGAGGCAGAGTTTAACCCATGGTTTGAAATTCCTTGTGTTCACAATCAAAACAAGATCATGCACTTTAATCCTCATCAGTAAAAATGACTGAAAATCTTTTATAGTCTATTGTAATTGGCATGTCAGGTTTCCCAAGATTCCCTCTTAATGTAATCTGATTTTTGTTTTCCATTCTTATTTTCCATTTTGAAAGGCAGGTACCAGCACTTTATGTGTATATTTAGGAGCATGTTTTGCAAACTTTTGGGCTTAGTTTCTTCTCTTTAAATGAAAGTCTAGAAGGAAGACATTTTTTTCATCAATTAGAAATTTACTTCCAAGTGGATCCTGAGGTAATAGCAGAGCCCAAAGACCATTTTTATTTTAGCATTTGAAGAATATCCACCAATTGCTATATAAGGAGATGAGAGATTCTCTTAAACATGGATTGGATATTTTTTAACCTGCACGATTTTTTTTTCCTTCCCGTGTTCAAATGTAGAAATAGATCTGCTAGAGATGCACAAGAGGAATCCCTGTCATTTTCCCCACAAATGAAATCCTGGCTTTCATTCCACCAGAAGTTTCTTAGACCTCTGTTGTTAAGATGACCAAAAAAGGGCCAGCGCTGTGCCTTGAGGAGCTCTGACTTCATGTCAGATGTAGGCTTCCCTTAAAACAGTTATTCATGTGTGCACACTGAATCTGGCCTAATTGTCTTTTTGAGCCAATTGTAAGAAATACATTTCAAGTTCTTCCCTCATTAGGTTTCTTCCCTAATGGAATATGTACCAGTGATGCAGGAATTAACCTTAATCTCCATGAAGCCTGTGATGATTAGGAGCTCAAAGAAGTGGAAGCATTATAACCTGGTTGTTCAAATAACAATTCCCTGAGGTATAGCTGCAGAATTGCTGTGAGGTTTAGGCTCACCACTTCCATTTGGCACTGGCACCAGGAGTCAGATCCATCTGCAACTGAAAGTTTGGCAGAATTGTTCCAGCCTTTAGTCTTGGAAAACAATCTCTCTCTCAGCAAATGCAGCACAGACACTGTTTAGCTAAGGATTGACCATGTCCATGAGATTAATAACACTTATGGCTAACCTATTCCTAGACTCAATTCACTTTTTGGGAGTAAATTTGTAACAATGGCCCCTTCTGTTCCCTGACAGCTTCATGGATATCTGATGCACTTTATCATAGAAGTCATGGCAAACTAACTGACAACAGTATTGATTCAAGCTGGTATCAGTTGGATCAAGATAACATGAACTATATGGCATCAAATGAGATAAATTTCCTGAGATAAAAGCAAAGGCTTAGGGGTTTTTTTTTTGGTTTATGTATTTAGCTGTCATTGTTCATCCAAAACAGTCAAACATGGAATAATATTTCAAAGAGTTGTAACAAATATGTTATTAATTAACAAATTGCACTTGAGAAAGAGAAAGTTCTATCAGCAAGCACTCCAAAATGCTTTGATGTTTTTATTCACCATTCACCAGTGGAACCATTGTGTGATTAAGAGCAGGGTCATTTATTTTGTTAACAGGACAAGGTAAACACAAACAAACAATGTGGGAGGAAGATTATATTGTATTCTGTAAAAAGTAGAATATAGGTAACTAGAAGAACTAACATGAAATTACTAGTATGTTACCAATGTAAGGGATTATACAGTGCTCAGATTTAACTACTGTCATTTCCCATATCTCTCCTTTAAAGAAAACCTTATATTTGCTAAGAAAACATAATAAATATGTCCTTTTGTTAATAAATAGGTCTTTTATATGGAGCAGTTGCTTTATTGTGTACAAGCATTGATTGAAGTGTGCCAGGAAGACTGCAAAGAAATTAGCTTGCAGCTAATGAAAGTTTTGGTGACCATAATGGCAGTACCATCTTCTCAGGACCTTAAAGAAAAGGTAAACTATGAGCTGGTTTAATATTTTGTTGTGTTCTTGTATTTTCATATTGATAAGACACTTTGTAGAAACAGAGCCATAATTATTTGTGGGGAGTATTTGTGTCTAGTCTGAGACTGTGCATCTCTGACAGTACAGACTGTACATGGTTAGTACCAGAATTAAATCTGGAGCTGGGTTTACAGTTTGGGACAGCACAGCCTGGAGAATTATGTTTCTTTATAACTTTGATTAAAAGCTCATAGAGTTAAAATACATTCTGTTTCCAGAAAAGGCCCTGTAATTCAGTTTTATTTTGTGGTCAAAAGCGTCAAGTATGGGTCTGTAGCTGCAGTTACAACTATAATTTTTTGTTTCTGAAAGAGTGTTTAGGTTAGTTTTCAGAATAGATGGCTTGAGGTGCATTACTGGAGCATGGGAATCAGCCCTGGAATTCAGGGTTTTTTTGTGGTCAAGAGCATCAAGTATGGGTCTGTAGCTGCAGTTACTATAATTTTTTGTTTCTGGAAGAGTGTTTAGGTTAGGTTTCAGAATAGATGGCTTGAGGTGCATTACTGGAGCATGGGAATCTTGGAGCTGGATGGGAGCAGCCATGGGCCTAGTAGAGCACTTTTTTTGGGTGGGTGTTAACCACCTGTCCACAGTTAGGTAAAGTTTCAGAACAAGAAGTGTCCAAGATTTTATGTTTGTCCTGGATCCTGCAAAGCCTTGGGCATGCTGGTGGTGCTGGTTGGACTTTGATGTTTACCTTTTAGTGGATATAAGTCACTGGGAATGTTTGGTTATATGCAGGAAAAAACTGACATTTATTTTCTGACTGTTAAAGAACTATTCACTCAGAGGTCAAGAGTACTACTGGCCTTAAAAATGTGATGGTTTCATAGTGATTTTTTCATCTTCAGCCAAATATCAGACTGATTTTACAGTAGTTGACCTTTTTACCTCACCACAAGAAACAAAAGTTTGAATGTCACAGGAATGCTTTAAAATCAAGGACAGCTGTACATGCCCAGATAATAGATGAGCTTTTTGGCTCAGCATTATCTCACCCCCTTATTTTTCTCTTCCTCTTTCTTCCCCGAGCTAAATATCATATAAATCAGCGAGCCATCCTCATGCAGTACAATTATGACCCATCCCAGTTGTCTTTTTTCAAACACACACCTTAAGTGCAGTGGCTATTCTACTTCCTTTGCTCTTGCTCCCAGGCATGGTACTCCAAAGGCCTGGGTAGGATCAGTATTTATGGCCCCAGAGCTGACAGGCTGCCTCCGAGGAGGCGTTCGCTCGGAGAGCACTTGGGAAAGAAATAAAGTGGAACAAAGCTTGAAACAAGTACTCAAAAGACTTTGCAGGTCAAAGAGGGGTGGGATGATGATCTGTCTTATGGGAGTGGGATTTGAGGGGGTTTGGAGGTTTTGTTTGTTTGCTTGGGGGTTTTTTTTTGACAGAAAATCAGTCAGGGTAAGCCTTAGACAGATGATTCTGGAATGTTTTGTGGTATCTTGCCTGCAGTGGTCTATAAAGTCAGCAATGTCCATTTAAAACCTTACAACTTCATACTCCTATAAAGAAAGTAGTTTCATGGAGATAAATCCTGATTTTCATAAATGGAGAACTTAATCTCCTGATATTATTAAAGGTTTAAGATGTTCCTGCAGTTCCAGATGATTTTTTAAGTTGACAGTACTTTGGATGAGAATCCTTTTTTTCATTAGCCTTTCTTTCAGCTAGACACATACAAAATCTGGCAGTGAGATTACATAATTGCAATATTTCAAAATTGTCAAAAAGACAAATATGGCTTGAATTTTATTTTTTTCTCCAGTTACTGATTATTCCAAAACTTCAAAGTGAGCTGTACAGCTTGGAGAAGGCAAGAAGTCCCTGTTAAAGTAGCTTAGGAACATGTAGAACAAAAGTATCACAGCTGCTGTATGAATATGAGTTTTTAGTTCAGAAAAGAAATATGTATTCAGACTAAAAAAAGATTGAGTATAAACATAAATTATTCAAAAATTTGCATTATAAAACTTTAATTCAGGCTTTATTATAACTTTATTATAAGAGGACAGAAGACCACTGAGATAGTGGAGACCACAACTGCTGTGACCTGGTGGTGAACACTCAGGTCTGGCCTGACTTTTGGCTTTGTGTCCCTCGTGTCTGTGGTTGTTTGGGGCTGAGGGAATGGACCAGGACCCCCAGCTGAGCCCAGCAGGGGCACAAGGAGCAGGGTGGGCCACAGCCCCAAAGAGACTGAAGCTGTATCAGCTGGTGGAGGCTGATTTGAGCTTGTCAGGGATTTAACTGCTGACCTAAAAATAAGGTTTTGTTTCATTACCCGTGCCCTGTGCTATCCTGGCTCTTCTTTCAGCACACTGATTATTAGCAGGAAAACAGAGTGTCATTAAACTTGTTAGCTTTCAAATAGAGGAAAGAAAATCACCATTATTTTTATTTAACTGTGAGACACTGCTTAATGAGAAAATATGCATCAGCCTCTGGCATATTTAATTTAGTCTCTCTTTTTTTTTTGTTTTAATTGCATTCTTGAAACCACAGAATTTACTGTAAAGTCATATGTGAACAATGTATTATTTTGTATCTCTTGTTCAGTGGAAAACAATCTTGTGTGTTATGTGTTATGGTGGGATTAAAAATGAGGAATAGTTTCTGTACTGACACATCCTGTTTAATGTTACAATTAATGTACAAGTAACTTACATGTAAAATATTCATTTATCTGAGTTGTTTTGGCTGTCTGGCAGAATGCTTCCATAAAAGAGAAATCTGTTGTGCTTGAGGCAGGCAAACCTGCTTTAAGAGTAACCTTTGTTCTTAGCAAATCCTGATTTATTTATTATTTTCTTCAAATTCTCATTTATTTTCTCCACATCTGGTACCTCCATAAAAACATCTTTGTCTGGCAAGTGATTAGTCTGGAAGAGTCTGAAGGTCCTAGACATGTTTGAGCTAACTTGTGTGGTTGAGTTCAGCTTAAAAATATTGAAAATATGAGTACAATTTGTAGTTGTACTGCAGCACTTGGAGTCCAATGATGTCACTCCCAGCACTGCTCTCCATCTTTCCCTGCTGGAGCTGGCCCTGCTGGCAGCACATCTTATTCCTCACTGAGGTTCCCAACAGTGCCTTGCTCCCCATTCTGGATTCACAGTCTACTGAAATCACCAAGGCTGCAGATCCTGCTTCCAGCATGCTTTTAATCTCTTCCTTGGAGAAGTTTTATACTTCTGGTAGGAGCCTTCAGGAACTGTAAAAGCAAATTTTCATTTGCTTTGAAACACATCTGCTGCAAGTGATTAGGAAGATCTATAGGCATCCTTGCCAAGCATGCTCATGTCTGGAATTCATTTAGTAGTTCTTACATGTTTCATTTGTACATGTTTTATTTGCATGTCTCATAGGATAGTCTTAACTCTAAACATGAAGAAGGTATTTCGGATGTAACAGTGAGTTTTGGTACTTCTAAGCAACAGAAGTTGAGAATTTCAAAATGAGCCTGCCCAGCTACTACAAAGACAGGGCATCTTTCATAATTAAATCTGGGGGGAGAAAGGGAAGAGGGGAAATGCCATGTTTTTCTCTTACCTGCAACAGCAATACTTTCTGGAAGCTACCATGGCATGGGATTGTGAGAAATTCCCCCTGTCTTTATGTTTTAAAGCATTCTTAAATTAAGGACAAAAATCACTACATCTTTAAAACCACTAAGAGCCTTTTTTATGATGTGGTTAGTTTTTGGATAGGTCCACACGGGTTAGAGACTCTCTCATTTTGCTGTTAGGTTGCTGTGTGCCTGATGATTTCATTTTGAAATCAGGACAAATGTTTCATTTCAAATAAAAGTTAATGGATGTAGTATAGACAGACATTAAATATCAGCCTTGATTGTTTAATAGAAATGATAAAAATCTTCCCATGTCCCTTTTTTCCTTACAGAATGAGTTTTAAACATTTGGGGTTTTTTTTAATGGTTTCAGTTAAGTATCCTGTCTCTGTTCTAACAGGTGGAGAAAACAATGTCTTCCTTAGCTGCAGTGCAGCAATTGGAAGGTTTTCACTGTCTCTACAAGCAGCACATCATTCAGCTGCTGGAGTGGCTTGCAGTGTCATGTGAGGGGTGGAGCTGCTATTCCCCAGAAGTGTTGCAGTTCGAGGTCGTCGCAACCCATTCAGGTACGACCTATTTAGTTCTAAAAAACATCCAGTCAGGATCTCCACAGCCTGCAGACAGCTTGTGTTTTGTAATGAGCAGTGTAACATTGAGAACCTTCACAAGAACATGATGGAAAGTAAAAGAAATGTTGAAGCAGCTCACATTCCCAAAGATTCTGTGGCTGCAGGGAGAAGGCTAAAAGCACTTAAGGAAAATGCACTTTCAGGTCAATGAAATAGGTGAGGATTAAGGGGAGACAAATGTAGCTTGTGTCCAAAAATCCATCTTTTTATTCCATCTATTCACTAGTCTTTCAGAGGACACCACCTCTCTAACAAACAGTTCCTCACTGTAGTGCAGAGGTGTGACACACTCTGGTGTGCATCTCACACTCCTTCAGTCCTGCACAGTGAGCACTCCTCTGCCACAGTCCCCAGCTGGCATCTGCAGCAAGGGACATGGTGACAGGCAGTGCTTTCCACCTCAACACCCATTTTAAGATTATTAAAATGAAAAGAACTGTTTATTTGTTTTTTCCTTTGTGTGGGTTGTAATGGGGATGGGGACAGTCACTTCATGAAGTATCACTGTGGCTACTGCACAGGTATATTTTAAAGGAATGTATCTTCTGCTTTCAATCTTTGAATCTCAAAGAAACCCTCATCAAACCTGTGTGAATCACCCACTTGTTGGCTTGTGCAGCAACCAGCATAAGAACTTCTTTTGGTTTTCATCAGTGGGAAGAGCAAAAAGTTACTTCAGTGTGAGATTTGAGAGGCCAACTTTTCTGTATATTTGTGCTCCCATTTCCATGACTGAGGGACTTCTAGACAGTTGTCTCTGTTTTCCTTAATGCTAAATAAATCATCAAATGTCTGGGCAAACATTTTGGCTTGCACCCAACACTGGTAATATGCTATTGTCTGTGTTTTCTGTCTGACACAGCAGCTCCTAGAGCTATTTTTTTTCTTTCTTTTCATTCCCACACATAATGTTGTTTTTAATCAATTTAATCAGCTTCACTCAATTAATATTTTGAGGTTTTTACTGTTTTTCAGGAGCATATGCTTAAGCTGAAATTAACAATGTAGTTTATTTTGTTTATTTTCCATCTGTTGAATTTGCTGTTATCAGTTTGATGTAGTATCTTGTGAATGTCTCAGAACTCACATGAAGTAATGTGTCTTGAATAAATGCTGTGAAAATAAAGACCTATTTGTTGGCACAGACATTTAGCAAACTGCAGTTCAACACCCTCTATTGCTTCAGTCTAGACAGTGAAATTTGGGTTTTTTCATAACTGTTTTAAACATTAAATTTCCAGATATTATTAAATGCTATTGAGTTTGTTTTGGAATCTTGGATACTTCAATCTGTCCATCCCATGTGTGAGGAATATTCTTGTCATCATGAATACCACTGTTGAGTCTCCTCTGAAGGATTTTCTGAGTTAGTGGAATTGGATGGAATGTGCATCTTAAGGATGCAAAGCTGCTGAAGTTCTTAAAGGAAAGTACTTTATTGCAAAAATGGGGCAGAAAGAGCATTCTACAGCAAGAAACTTGCAGAATAAAGTGTGTGTGCAGTCTTTATGGACTCTTCCTCTTTAAAAGCAGGCAGATGTTAGTCATTATCAAGGAGAAAGGCATAAATTTCCCTCAGTTGTGGGAAAATAACTTCTTAAAATGTTGGGCTAACAGCTTAGAGTTTTGTTTGTTTGTTTATTGTTTAAATTTATCACAGGATGTGAAAATATTAACAAACTAAAGAGTTCATTTGGAAGATATTTTTATTTCAAGTAGCTTCTAAAATACATCATATTTTGGATTGTCTTATAAGATGAAATAAGCATTATTTAAACAGGGAGAAGGAATGCTGCTGCAGTCATTGTATTATCCAAGTTTTGAAGCTGATCCTTTCAAACAGGCCCTTTCCTATGCCTCTGGGAGTCATGAACATTTCAAATGCTGCATGTGGAAAACTTGAAAGAAGAAAAAAGTGTAGTTAATGCTGCTGTGTCCAGAGGTGTGAGGGTCATGCCAGATCCAGTGTAGTTTTTCATTAAGTTTAAGAAAACCAAAGCTTTGTGCATAGCCTCAGACTTGCAGAGTTACAAGGGAGCAGCATTCATCCCCCAGCCAAAATGCCCTCTGGTACTGATGGTCCCAGCAATTCTGGGGTGTCTTGGATAGATCCATTCCAGAGTCATGAAATGATGGAATGGTTGGGTTGGAAGGAGCCATCAAGTTTCAACTCCCTGCCTTGGGCAGGAGCACCTTCCACTATCCCAGTTGCTCCGAGCTCCATCCAGCCTGGCTTCGGGCACTGCCAGGGATGGGGCAGCCACAGCTCCTGTGGCCAAATGTGGTACAGCTATGCCAAGCTGACTAAATGAAATGTGGGGAACTGATCTTCAGGTGCTCTGGCCAAAGCTGGGGGTACCTGAGCCCGTGGGGAGTTAGCCTGGGGATTTCTGCACCACCCAATATGGTGTCACATGGATCTCTCAACAGCTGCCATGCAAGAGTGGGAGGCTGAGGACTCTTTTAACACCACTTGTATTAGAAATTTTAATGCACCGACATATGAAACACCTAAATAGACCTCAGTATTCTGAAAAAAGCCTTCTGTGTTTGTTTGCTAGGTGCTGTCATAGGTGAAGCTCTGGATGACTTTGTTCTGGTTCTGAGGACGTGTCTCCAGCCAAGCAGAGATCCCCAGATGCGCTTAAAGCTCTTCACTGTTCTATCCCAGTTGTTGCAGAAAGCAAGTGAAACCATCAATTCTCAGGGGTAAGTGGGGCTCTTATTTCACGCAGCTATTTGAAAACTCCAGTGGCACTAAGAAATAATGACCTTGGGAGTTATTTAACCCCTATAACCATCTCCATGTGAGCGTGGCTGGAAGAAAGACTTTCCCACCATCTTCTACAGACTATTTTTCTTGCTGTAATTTTTAACAATGATTAGGAGGGTAGAGTGCAGTAATTAAAAATATATATATAAATAAATGGAAGTCTTGGCTTCCTCCACTGTAGTCTTCCTACCTGTGCCATTACTGGGAATTAAAAGGAATGTCATGCAGATCTGGATAGTTTTCAAAAAGAAAATTAAGAGCTGTGGTTCAAAAGAATACTTTTTGAAAGCTAAAAGGGAGATTCTTAGAAAAATAATTGGGGGATGTGAGTGTTACTTGTTTAAATACTGTAAAAACTGTAGTCATACTTGTTTAAATAATCATGTAACTGATTGATAGTTACAATATTAATCTAGATATTCTACAGTCCAGAAAAAAAGAAAAGCACTTTGAAAACAGTTTAAAGTGTTCCAGGATCTGACTATTTGTTTTAAACCAGTTTGTATCTAACTGAGAATGCAAAGCCCTTGGAACCAAGAAACCCAACCTGATGAGCTACCAGCTTCATTAATATACTCAGGAGAGGGAAATTATCAGTGTGCAAAAAGCAGAAGAATGTTTAAAAGTAATACAGTGAGTATGGCCACACAGCACCCAGCTCTGCACACAGCATGATGGAAGTTGTTTTGCTCAGGGCAGTGTGAGTGAATGGCCTTTGTCAGGATGAGATACATCCAGGGGGGGTCACAGTCCTGTTTGGATGAAGGATGGTCCAGTCCAGCTCTTAATGAGGCTCTGTCCTCTGACAACAAAAGCAAAGCCATGAATTTTACCAGGTTTATGTTCAAGACTAAAAATCAGTGGAAGCAGCTAAATGCCTCTGAAGTTTTGATCCTGCTTACCATGGACACAGCAAATGTTTGCATGTAGGAGGTAACATGTGGAGTTTTTGTGTTTGAAGCATTGTTTGCAAAACATTTCTGGAGGTTTTGATTTGTAAAAGCCAATCCAATTTTGTTTCAAATTACCTGGGTTTAGGATGTTAAATTTTAAAAAAAGAAACAACAAAAGCATACACAGAAAACCCCAAGACATATAAAGCAAAGTGCAGCAGTGTCCTAAAAGCAGAAAAGGAACCAATGCCAAACAAAAATGTATAAAAAATAATTAACATGCAATGAAAGTTTAAGTATGCAAGTTCATAAAATCAGTTTTAGGCTCTGCTTTGTAACATCTGCATAAGAGCAGGGTATTAATGTATCTGCAGGTCAAATTTTAGTGCTCTTGCATCCAGCTGAGAATGAAGGATCAACTCTGTAAGTACAAACAGCACAGACAGGGTATGTCCTTTCCTGGAAATTACTGACTTTTAGAATTAAGTTACACAGATTTACAGCAATAAGATCTGAAAATGGAAAGAGGGAGAATTTAATTGCATTAGCAACAGCAAAAATAAAATGTTAATGGTTATGAGAGATAGTGTTGGGGAACAGTAGTAAGTTCCAATTGCACTCTCACATTCACTGCTATCAGTAATTTGTTTAGCTCCTTGAAATGGTTCTCAGAGTTTGGGTAGGAAGGCTTTTGGTTATTATGCTAAACACAGTTGTGTGGTCACCTAATTGTGTTTGAGTCAGATAATTGCCAGATATTGCTTTCCTGATTCTGTTTCAAGGCACTAGAACAAACATTCTCACAAATAGCACAGCACCATGGTTAACATAATGCTGATGGAATTTACCTTTGTGTTTTGACATATTGTTTTCTCACTGCAGTTTAACAGAAGGTTTTATTAAAAACAGAAGCAGCTACTGGTCAGATAGCACAGACAGCACAGAGCTGTTTTTAGCTTTGCAGCTGAAAGGAGATTTGGAATGATGGTGATCATTAGTTTTATTTTTTTCCAACAACTTTTTTGTTGGAAATTAGTAATGCTTAAAAATGTGTTTAAAATACCACATCTAAAGGGTTTTACAGATTTAGATGTGTCTAATGGGATGTCAGATTTCTTGTTATTACTTAAGTGCCATCTACTGACAAGAAGCAGCAGTGGATGGATCTCTGACTTCTTCAGAGCCCAAGGGCTCCTTTGCCCAGGGGAAGCAGCAGCCAGGTGTATCTCTTTCCAAAATGTTGTAGGTGTGTGTCAGCACATGACTGAGGCCTGGCAGTGCAGCTGCTTGTGCTTTAGTCAGGTAATACTTGGATAACAGGGACTACCTGCAGCATGGGTTCCTTTTAAAGCACTCCCTGGTAATTGTTAGTTGTTAACACGGACCTGTGATGTTCCTCCTGTGTCTTGGCACATCACTAAAGGGGCCACTCATTCACCCTGGCAGTGTAGGACTGAAAAAGTCAGAAAAGTCAACAAGAGCTTGTTCCCTTTGTATCAAGCAGCAGGGTGGGGATGTGCTGTTTGGCTCTCAGGGGCTGCACTTTGAACAGAGCTCTGAGCTCAGTGGGACAGTCAGGGTGGGTTCAGTCTGTTTGCACACTGCCAGCTGCTCTGCAGGGCACAGGCACAGTGCATAACCTGAGCCTCAGTTACCAGCCTCAGCTAGACACTAATGTCTCTTTGATGCAGCAAAATATTAATTAACTTGTAAGATCTGTATTTTTTGTTCCTCTTAATTTGAGCTGTAACTAAATGAGTGTGAGGGAATCCTGCCTGTTGTAATTGCTGACTCTCACAGCAACTTTTAGCATTATAACAACCCACTGAATGGAGGAGGAGGAAAAACCATCAGCAAAAACATCACAGATTTACGTGTTTGTAATAAAAACCCATAGTATGGGGACTGGCACCATCAGAAAATCCTACAGACCTCTCATCTTTGGGTGAGACAAGTTTCTGAGCCAAGAGAGAGCTGAAATATTCTGTGTATGCTCCCAGTTGTATCAGTGTCATCAATAGCATTCATACTTTTCACATTATAAATACTTTTCCCTGGCCAGTCTCAAAGGGCCTCACAGATATTAATGAATCTCAGAGCATGGCACAGGGTGTTACCTCCACTGCACAGACAGGGAAGGTGAGACACAGAGAAGGTAAGTAGTTTACCAAGATAACACTGAGTCATGGTCATTGCCTGAAGTGGGAGAAAGTCTAGCCTCTCCTTTCTGTGAATGTTAGGTATTTCTTTAAACATTATCTAGAAAAATTAAGTTGTGAAAGCTTATCACATACATTACAATAACATTGCCTTGGAATATATTATTTATTTTTTTACAGAGTCTTTTTTTTTCCCTTTTCTGCCTATGTTTCTATGACAGAAAATTCTCTTTTACATCCTGTCAGTCTCTTTATCACTTTCTCATGAACCTTTATTTTGCTTTCTTATTTTTGGCTTCAGGCTGTTCCCTAGCTACCTTGAGACTGTGATAAAAGACATCCTGGCTCCTAATCTGCAGTGGCATGCTGGAAGAACAGCAGCTGCCATCCGTGCTACAGCTGTATTGTGCCTTTGGGCTCTCATCCACTGTGAAATGCTTTCACCAAAAGAGGTAAATTCTCTCTTTCTCATCCTTTGAAATCTTAGGCAGGAAAACAAAATAAATGCAAGGGGGGGAAAAAAGAATAAATTGTTAGGGTAAGTAATATTTTCAGAAGGACATACAGTCTTCATAATAAAATTCATTAATTGTAATTGAATGTTAATGACTGAAACAATCACTAGTGGAGGGATGATGACATCCTGAGAAGAGATCTGAGGCCAGCAAGATGCTGAGGTGTAAAACTGAGTAGCAGCAAATTTTGTAGATATTTTTTTCTAACAGATCATCAATTCTGTAGCCCGAGGTACTGACCACTGTGAACACAAAACCTGAGTGCTGCACATTGCTGGACCCACAGGCAGAGCCTGTGCAGCAGCACTGGAGCCAGCCAGGACGTGCTGTGCTGTCACGTGGCAAAGACAAGTTGTCTGGTTGCCTTGGAGCCCACAGGTCCATTTAGAGAAAATAAAAAACCATCAAAAGATTCTGAGAAAGGACAGGAGGACTTGAAAAGGAACATGAAGAATATGAAGAGAGACTGGAGTGCTAGCACTTGAAGAGTTGTTACCCATCCCTGATAAAGGATTAATTGAATCTGGGGGTGTTTTTGAAGCTTCTTTGCTAACAAATTAGCATTTGGAAATTATGCACTGGAAAGATGTTAAATACAAGGCCATTTTAAAAAAAATAATTTAATTTAAATGTTATTAAATGTTCACAGTCTTTAGTGTCTGTATAAGAGACCTTAATTGAACAAACTGCTTAAACACACATAACTGGTTGAGGTCACACATACAGAAACAATGATATCAGAAGCTGCTGTTCTAACTGAACATTTTTTTCTGAATCGTGCCTTAATGCCTATTTGGCGTTAATGGCTGATGTGGAACGCTCGGGATCAATCCCCAGCCGAGCCTGCCGCCCGGCCCGGCCCGGCCCGGCCCGGCCCGGCGCGTCCTGCCGGGCTCGGCGCGCCCTCTGCTGCTCCCTGCGCGGAGCGCCCCGCTCCGAGCCCCCGCGGCTTGGTTTTTGTATAAAGGCAAGTGAGATTTAAAGATTTTACAAGCTTGAACATACATACGAGTTACATAAAACTCATCTGCTTGTATACTGAGTGCTCGTGAGCTGGGTGATTGACTGGTGGATTTTCATTTTCCCAGCTGACCTAGAGGCAAAGTTAGAGCTCTGTAACTTGAGGGATTTTCAGGGTAACATTTATAGCAAACTTTGTAACTAAGCAAACAAGTATCTGGCACAGCTAATGGTAAGTGCTGTAACACTAAGGATATTTTTTCTATGCTTTTCTTATTAACTGTAGATCTTAAAAGTGAAAGATGAGCTGATGCCCCAAATTATTGCTTCCATGGATGAGGACTCTAAAATTACTCGACTGATGGCTTGTCGTATTGTTGATGTTTTTCTAAAAGTCTGTGGGAGGCAGTTTGATGCAGATAAATTTAAGAACACTTACACAGGTATGTGTGAAGGTTTAGTAGACTTGGGCTGAGGGCATTGTTGGTTTGTGTGTTTTAATCAAGATTGCAATGTTGACATTTGCTTTTTTACCCAAAGTACCACAGTTTGCTCGACTTGTAAGGGTTTGGCAGAACCGAGTATTCCCAACGTCATTATCCATCAGACCACTAGGTGGAACTTCACTCAATGCTTTGGTTTGTGCAGGCCTTGCCAGCAGCTCATCTGCATTGCTTCAGAGTTTGGACTACGTGAAATAATGTGCTAAGTATAGTGAGAGCAGAACAGTACTGCAGTGTATAAATGGAAGTCACATTGTTCTCCGTGCTGTGTTTGAGAGCCAAGAGCAAACCATTTCAGTGTACTATAAATAGACCTGAATAGGTAGTGGGTTGGGTTTTTATCTTAAAAAAAAATAAAATAAAACTCTAATGTCGAGTTGTGTATTGCCAATTAGAGCTAGGAGCTGTAATGCCTCTTAGGATGGAGTGCTAAACTATTATTCAGAAGTACAGACTATGCTTTGAGCCAGGTTTTATGTTCTTATACAGACAAATAATTTGGCTTTCCCTAACTCAGCATCTTAGCAACTGATAATTTTTTTCTGACATGGCACACAAGAAATCTAACTACAAACATTTTTATTTTGGAGAAATACATGATCAGATAATTCTTAAAGTATATTTGTCTTTGCATCTTGCATATACACGTAGTCTGCAGTGCAGTAATTCACTGAAACAGTAATATTTAATAATTTAATTCATATTGTTTAATAATGTAATTAATATCTAATTAATAGAAATTGTGTGCTTTATGAAGCATACAAATACTTAAACTCTGTAGTTCTGTAATGCATAAATAGACATCAATAGTTCCTTTTTAGAAGGAGTGCTAAATAATGTTCAATTAATCTAAATACTTCTGTATATGCCTTTTATTGTTTGGGCAATATCATCCAATAACAATGAATGAAGAGCTTTTAGGAGCTGGTACAGTGGTACGTGTATTTATTATGCTCAAAAGACAAAAATATGTCAGAAATGTAACAATAATTTGAGTGTTGACAGAATGCATTTGTCTTTTCCAAATGCAAAAGCCAACTCCAGTGTTCCCAGAGCATTTTGGTTCTTGCTCCTTTTCAGAGGTGTTGAAGCGTCTGGATGATGCCTCGGGTGATGTGAGACTGGCAGCTGCTCACACCTTGGCTAATTGGTTTAAGTGCTTAAAGGACAGTGATGTGAAATCCTCAATGGAAGGTCATGTTGAGTTTCTGTACCAAGAGCTGTTGGTACATCTCGATGACCCAGATGAAAATCTCCAAAAAGCAGTCCTAGGTAAGAAATTCAGTCATGTATGTTTTTACAATGTTTTTAAATCATCATTTTGAGTGAACATGAAGGCAGCACATACAGGTAGAGGATAACCCTGCCAGGCTGGAGCTTTCTTTGGGTTTCAGTGGATGAGCTCTGACCTTTTACCTGTGTGCAGAATGAATGCTTTGCCCAGTGTTCCCCAGGGGAGGTAGCAGGGCAGCTGAACCTCCAGAGATTTTATGGATGGTAAACAGGATATGGAGCACTGCAGCGTGTGACCACATCCCAGCCTGCAGGAGGGGCTCTCTGAAATCTATTAGTGTATCAGCCTGCGTTGAAGAACATAATTGTCAAAATAGAGAGCTCAGCAAATGGGGGAGGGAGGAATTGTGTTGTCATCACTGCATCACTTGTAGAACAATTTCCTGGTTTGCTTTCCACTGCTTTGAGGGAGCTTGGGTAGAGAAACACAAAGCAGCTACTGATTTATAAAACATTTTTGTCTTACAGAAGTTTTAAAGGAAGGAAGCATTTTATATCCAGACCTGCTGGTGAGAGAAATTGAAGGGGTTTTACACAAGCATCAAACACCAGTCTATTGTAATCAGCTGCTACATCACATTCAGTCAGCCAAGGAATCAGCTCTGAATCACTGCTGAGATTCTGTGTAGGAAACTGATGTGAAATCTGTATGACTTGGATTATCTTTGTATTTTGGTTTGCTTAAGAAAGGCTGGGCTGGAAGTACATTGTTTTTTCTTTGTAAATTCACTGTTGGTTCATTTGGAAGTGAAATTAGCGCAATTCTATGTTCTTTGCAGTTTGAACAGTTCTTTGTATTTCCTAGCAATAAAACAATGGTTTAATTCACTTTGCATTGGTTTTTCAGATACAAGGTTTAAAGAAGGCATGTTTTTTCAGGAATTTAATTTTTAGATTATTTGACAATGTAATAATTTAATGTCAGAGTTACTAATGTAATACAGCAAGGATTCAGTCTTTCAAAAAGCATTTCACACTGGATAAAATCACACTTCACAGTCAGGTATGTGGTGACCAGTTTTATTAGGAAGAAAAAAAGCAGCCAGACTTCTCCTTCGTAATGCAGCAAAGAGTATAATGTTTTGAATATTCATATTTATGCTGATATAATAGGGAAATGGGTAGCACTAAAAGAATAGTTTTTATTTTTATTGTATTACATTTCATGACTGGGAGTAAAGCTGAATTTTTTTAATTAAGGTTTATACATGAGAAAAAATGTGCTGTTTTGACATTTAGATAACAGTATTTATATTTTTGTACTAAATATATATCATTTTCAGTTTTTATGTTTATACCACTGTGCCTTGGAAAGCAAGCAACATTTGTTTGCATATTGCTTTGAAATTAAATTCTGTGACTTTAGGTTAAAGCTTGGTTTGTTTGGGGTTTTCTTCAGTAGCTTTGTAGAGTGTAAATTTTGGTGTCATCTTCTATTCTCAGCTGTGTAATAAAAACAGGGAGCTCCTAGATGCTGTGTTCACCATTGTGGGGTAGAGTGCTGGGGTTTTTTTGCACATACAAATCATGGAAAATCAGGATTCTGATGAGGGTATTTTAAATTATCTGCATTACAGACAGAAAGTGCTCTTTGGCTTCTAATTCCCAAGTGCCTTGGCTTTGTGTCAAGTCTAAAAACAGACTCAGTGGGGGTTGTTCATGCTCCTTATGCTGTAGGAAGTGCTCGTGTTTGTTTGTCCATCTGACCTAACTTTACCTTTTCAGGCCTGTGACACAGTTGTCAACCAACCCATGATCTGTTTACAGCAATGTCTACTTGCCTTCCCAAAGAAACATTTGAGACTGATTACACACACAAGTTTTATTCCTAGCTTAAAGGCAAAGGCAAACTTCTGGCCACTTCTCCACAAAACACTGGCTTGCTTTGAAAATTCTCCAAAAAGGGACAATCATACTAATGATACAGAATAGTTGAGGAGTTTCTTACGGATCCAAAAGCTATTGTGCATTCCTGTAGAATAGGATACTCATTTTAGGCCCTTTGTAATGTCTTTGAAGTTCAGCTTTCTTTGAATGAAAAGCCGAAGTACAGCTGTTCCTGTACTGAGCAGCATTTTAATTGACTAAAAACTATTAACTATTTAACTCACTGTAAGTGGAGAGGCAGCTAAAATTATTACAAGGCAATATGTATAAAATATAAATTTTGTGTAAGGCAATGTGAGTGAAGTAAAAATCCCTAGAGAACATTAAATAGAGTGAAGAGGTTGTGGAGTCTCCAGCCTTGGATATATTCAAAATGTGACTTGATACAGCCCTGAGAAACCTGTTCTGCCTGAGCCTGTTGGGCAGGAGTGGGACTACATACAGCATCTCCAGGGGTCTCTTCCAGCCTGACTGTTCTGTGGTTCCATGAAATTGTTTCCTTAGTCTAATCAATTATTAAAAAGCCAATTAAATTAGACTGGAAATAGACTCTATGCTAGCTGAGACCTTGTTCTCAAAATAGCCTTTCAAAGCCCTGCGAAGCAGGAGGTTCCTGCAATACAACCTAAAGTTTCACTTCAGCAGCAAGAACCCAGATCTTATGGTAAAGTTCCCTTGAAAGTCCCCTAAATGCATCCTACTTAATGATGCTACTACAGGCGTGATATTTTTAGCTTCTTGTGTTGACAAAATTTAGATTCTTTACCACTGATTAACAGCCTCATGATAGCTGCAGTACAAATGTTGGTCAAGTGCTTTTAATTACTCTTGTGATGTAAAGCAGAGATGTTTGCAAACCCAACTTCAAATGTGGGATGAGAGAAGAGAACATTCTTGGTTGACGTGGAATCTGGTCAAAGTTTTTCAAGATGTTCTAAAGCTGGCACACAAATAGTAAGAGCTGAAGTATTCCTCAAGCTTGATATCTTCAGCAGGCTGGGAATTTTTTGTTCCTCCATATGTTGAACATTTTGTTATCTTTCGGAGCTGTCCGTTGTGGGATGCCTCACAAAGAAAAATCTCCACATTATCCAGCAAACCAGCTTTTTCTTCAGAGCCAGGAGAGCTTGTTAAAATGAATATTCTAATAGTCCTTCTAGAGACATGCTACACAACAGCTTGATCTTGTTTGTGTGTGTGTGACAAACTGGGGATCTGCCACATGTCTATTAGGTCTTCTGGGTATAGGACTTGGTATAGTGCTAACCTTGCTTGTATTTCAATTTGTATTACCAAAATTTCTTAAATTCCTTTACAAAAAATTATTGTTATGTGCTGTCATATTACAGTGTGCTGTCAATGTGGTTTATTTAAAGTCATTTTCTTTGAGACTCAACTTTCAGCTTCACTCTTTTACTGGATCGGTAGGAACTCATCTAAAATGTTTTGGGTTTTTTTTCCTGTTTGGCCAGATCAGCTCTTATATTTTCTAGATTTAGTTAGTGCACATTACAGAATGTCACTAGCACTATATGCATTACGTCACTTTTAAGCTCGGGCAATTTTGGGGAGCAGAGCTGTTATCTCAAACTTTCAGGCACTTTAGATAAGCAGCCTTTAGCCCTGCCCTTCCTGTGACGAGCACTTGGGCCTCTGTCTTCGTCCTTGTAAGCCAGAAGAGCTGTTGTGAAGGATCCTGGGACTTGGATTCTCAGCAAAACAGAGGTTTTTAGGTAAGTGCATGCATTTGTCTAACTGAATATAGAATCTATTATATATTTGTTAACTACCTTACATAGATTGAATTAATTAGATGTTGAGAGGACAAATGAGATAACTAAACTTTGAGACAGGGTCTACATCAGAGAGCATTTTAGGAGAGGCTGGTGGTTAGGTGTGCTCCAGATCCATCCTCTTCTCCTCCATGTGAGTCCATCCAGGGAATGTGCAGATTTCCTCAGGAACACTGGCAGATTGCAGACACCCTGCAGGTGTCCAGCCCTGCAGGGTCATGTGAGCCCACGGGAAGGTGCACTAATGCACCTCTGTGCTTGTGTCAGCACTCTGCTCCCAGACACTGACCTCCAGCTCCAACTGCAAAGTTATTATAGGCTGAAATAACAGATCACAGATCTAATCTAATCTTTACACAGAGAAATTTAGCTATTAAGGTATAATAAGTTAAAACCAGGAGTAACCACAAAGAATTAGTATAGTCCATAGTACTGTTTTACTACTATGATAAAACTATCCAGTTATAATACAGTATAATCATAATAAATATTTATGTCATTATGGTAGAAGTTATTCTATTTATTTATTTATTATAAATAAATTGTACTATAATAGTTCTATATAGAAAGGTTAGAGTTCTGATGGGCTACTGCACAGGCTTTATCTTGCTGGGGGAAGCCCCTTGTCTGCACCACACAAACATACCAGAGCACTGCCCCAAAAATAAAGTAACATCTTGGCTTTGGAAAGCCAGCTGCTGGCTTGAGAGCAGCCAAGCCTCTGATTCATTTGCAGAATCTGTGTTAGGATCCCTGCAAAGGAAGGTGAGCAGCTGTTTTCTAGAAGAGTAGATCAGAGCTGGTCCTGCTGGATACATCATGGACTGCTCTGTGTCTCAGCCCTCCACGTGAAGCTCTAACCATGTTTTAAAAAGAGAGAAAGAAAAATAAAGGAAAAAAAAATCTTCATTATTAGGCATCTGAAGGATCAACAAAAATTACAGTTAACAAGCTTGTGTCCATTTACTGGGATCAATCCCCCAGAGAAGCAGGAGCTGAGCTGAAGCAGCAGATGAGAGCTGTGAGGAGAGCGGCTGCTCTGCCCGCCTGCCTTGGGTGTAATCGGCTTTTCTTGTTAATGTCTGAAATCCCCTGTAAGTCAGGACCACGGAGATCCAGAGGCAAAACTGATCTGAAGTGCTCTGCATCCCCCTTTACCTGATAACCCAATTGCTCTGCAGGCAGCACCCATTGCCTTTGGCTGAGGGGTGTGGGGAAAGGGCTCTGCTGAGCTTAACCAGAGGGATGCAGGTGGTGAGAAACCTTTTACTTAATGAGCAAGAAATCAGATTTACAGATATTTCAGGTGATTTTCATACTACTACATATATATGATGATCTGCCCAGCAATGGACACAAAGGTCACCAGTCCCATCCTGTGCAGCAGCGTGCCATGCCCAGTTCCACCAGTCAGAAACACCTCCCTGCACTGGTCCCTGCCACATTCAGTCTGTACCTTCCGTCACTGTGGGGATTTTCCCCTTTTGATAGCAGGGACCAGAATGTGGAGCACAACAGGCTTGCTAGGTGTGACTGCAGGAGAGCACTGGGAATGGGAATCATAGTGGGAAGGGAGCAGTAATGTGGGAAGGGAAGGGAAGGGAAGGGAAGGGAAGGGAAGGGAATAGAAGGGAGCAGTAATGTGGGAAAAAAAGGGAAGGGAAGGGAAGGGAAGGGAAGGGAAGGGAAGGGAAGGGAAGGGAAGGGAAGGGAAGGGAAGGGAAGGGAAGGGAAGGGAAGGGAAGGGAAGGGAAGGGAAAACTATAGAAACGTGGTCCTTGCATTGGTTTGGCCCTGTATCCCAGTTTCCCCATATCTGGTGTCAGTTAAGAAAGCTTTTTTTCCTCTAAATTCTTAACTGCCCTCTACAATGTTAAAAATGGAACATTGTTAATGTGGTCAATTTTTATTCTTACTGACCTTTTTTCTCTATACACTTCAACATAGCCAATAAAATTGTCAGCCCACTTTACATTCAGAAATTATTAGAGGCTGAGAAACCTTGAAGGAATTTTTGTTTGCCTCAGAGCAGTTTCTTCTGAAATGTGGAAAAATTAACTTCCTGTCACACCAGCTTGTTTTAACCAAACCAGGATATCTGACCAAGTTCCCGTTAAATCTTGGAAACTTAAAAAAAACTCTATTGCCTCTCATAACTGAGGAGTGGAGGGAAAATTGAGCTTCAGCCATCATCCTCCAGCCAACCTCTTGGACTGGTTGTGATGGAAAAACAACTGCTCAGGACAAGTCAGAGCAGCCTGGGAAGCTGGCAGCACCCTGGAAGAACGACATGCCTTGTCCTGCCAGAGCCGAGTGCTGCCTGCCCTGCCTGGGCTCCAGGGGAACAGGGTGGGAATCAGCCCGAGAGGGCCTGGCCTCACACCACCAAGGAATTTCAAGGAGACTCAGACTAAGAGGTGATTTTGCCCTGAGTATCTTAAGCCTTTCACTATTATCTACTCTTAAGACAGGAAAAGAGACGTGGAGTAAGCACAGAAAGAGAAGGAGTGGCCAGAAAACTGATTCTGCAAAATACTCAGTGCAGGGCGGAGGAGACTGGTGCAGGGCTGCACATCTGACCAAACCAGGCACTGGCTTCCAAGTGTCACTGGGGTCAGCTCAACTTTGGCATCCTAAAACTGTCATGTAGCTGGAGCAAAGCACTTCTAAAAGAAACAGGAATTGCCCCAAATCAGTGCTACAAAAATATCAGCTAATACCTTAAGTGAATGTGGTGAATGTGTTTATCTTGCATTTTCTGTTTCTTAAGGATTAGCTGCCTTCTCTCATTTTGTTTCCAAACATTTGGATTATTTGATAATTACATATTTATTAGCCAGTCTTTCACAGCAAGCTGAGTAATTTCTCTTGCACACACAAGTAAATAACAACTTATGGCCCGGTTAGGCTTTCCCAAGTGACAAATTCTCTATTCTTTTCACTGACATTGCACCATCCCTGCCAGCTGGGCCCACAAGAGAACTGTGGACTCAGGGAGACTGAAGGCTTAAAAAAAGTCACTCGGGCACAGGCTCCACATTGAATGTATTTGCATACATTCCCCGAGTGTTTGAACAATGGGGCTTGTTTCTTCTCTGCCAAGAACCAGTCCCATTCCTGGAAGTGTTCAAGGCCAGGTTGGACAGGGCTTGGAGGAGCCTGGTGTAGTGGGAGGTGTCCCTGCTCATTGCAGGGGAGTTGGAACTAGATAGGCTTAAAGGTCAGCTCCAAGCCGAACCATTCTCTGATTTCTTTTCCCCGGGGCTGTCCGGAGGTTTCTGTGGCCCGATGCTGGCGCTGGTGAGATTCGCTTGGGCACCACACGGAGCCGAAGCGCTTCAGTCCCACCGGGCCGGCCGGACGTGCTGTGCCAAAACCTTAGCGGAGGAGGGCGAACCACAGGGAAGGAAAATCCCAAAAAGGCCGAGTAGGAAGGAAACACCGGGAGGGAAAGTCAGTGAGTCAAGCAATAGAGTGAAAATCTGAGTTAACTCTCCTCGCTCCAGAGGCTCCCACAGCTCCATTTTGCGGAGGGGGGAGGCGAGGCAGGAGGCGGCCGGGCTGCGGCCGCTGGCGGGGGCAGCCCCCGAGCGGGGCCCGAGGAGGAGGCGGCGGCGGAGGCGGAGCGGAGCCCCGCGCCCGTGTGTGAGGGGCCGCGCGGGGCGGGCGCTGAGCCCGGGGCGCGGTGTCTCGGGTCTGCGGCCTCCCCCGAGCGGGGGATCGGTGTCCCTGCCGCGGGCAGCGGCGCAGGGGAGGCAGCGGGGCGTGAGGCGCCGCGGGCTGGAGTCGCGGGGCGGGCGCTGACCCCTGGTTAGCCCGGAGTTCTGTCGGTCGGCGCTGTTCGCTAGGAGCAGAGAGAAGCCTCAGCTGCCTCTGGGCCTGGCACCTGGAGGGTTTCCTTGTTAGAAGAAGCTGTAACCTGCAGCTTGCTGCCCTGCTTGTGAAGGAGCTGATAAGTGCGCGGTGGTGCCGGCTCGCCGTGGCTGCCGAGCCTTGGTGCAAAGGTAACGATGGGTGCTGTGTTCTGCTCGGGGTATGCAGACCTGTCCTCGCTGTCCCCCGGCTGTCACCTCGGGGCAGCTGCTTCTGTGGGGAAAGTGTTGTCTAACAGACGGGTTTACTGTAGAAGAGTTTGGCATCGCTCGCCGAGTGAGTGGCTGCTCGTGTTTTTACAGCAAAATGTGCTGTTTTGGTGCTGTGCTCCTATTGAGGTGCTAGTGCTGAGTTCCTCATGCCATGTTCACGTTTGGCTGCCCTTCAGTGACCACAGGGGGAGAGGTGTCAGGAGCACTGGAGACAGCACCTGTTTTCTGACAGTTCCTCTAAGTTTTAGGTCTGCTGGGAAGAAAAAGTATTTGATTTCCCTTATTTTGCGTTCCTTATTTTACGTTGCCTTATTTAACATTATACTATGTTAAAATAAAATACATTTTATAAATATATTGTTTATAATATATCATAGGGAAGGAAAATATTAGCCAGCAAATTCCGGGTTTCTGCAGCACTTGGAGGCCCCCCCATCTTACCATCTGGTTTTCAGTTTAACATTACGCAAAAAGGAAGTTCAATATTTGCTAATTTTTTTTTTTAATGTTTCTGTTTC